GTGTTTTTGAAAGTGTGAGGACTATTCACCAGACTCCCATTTAGGTGGCTGAAAACTCCCCGCAAAAACTCTATGGGTCCTGGAAATACATAGGCCCCCTGCGAAATGGCATAAGAATCAAAGGAGAAATGAATTTCCTGTGGTGCAGATGAGCTCCTTAAAATCGCTCCCACCTGAGCACACCTCCTTTTTCCTCATACACATTGAAAGCCATTTGAATAATGCACGTTGTTCAGTTGCATTGTGTGCTCTGAAAGCCATTTAATGAAGGTAGACAGGCTTCCAAGAAGGTGCATTCTTTGACTAATGTAGATACTCCTAGAAAAATCTTTTTTCAACATGGAAGGCAAGATTTACAGGGTAAGTGGAAGAAGGAAGGCTATTACAATGTCTCGTTTTACTCAATCAAATCGAATGGAAGCAACATTAGGTTAAATCTGATCTATGCTAGGTGAATCTTGCTCTATGCAATGTATAAACTGAAAAGCTGCAAGTCAATCCCATTTTAGCAAATCAAACCATCTTCCCATCGACCTCCATTATATTATCGAAGTTGCTTTGTCTCCCCAATTGATCATCAATTAGCAGTGGCTTCTAACTCCAACCTTTCTGCTAAATAGTTAACAATCTGGAAACTGATGGTTAAATGAATAAGGGGCATTTCTATCTAAATGAAAACCTCATGAATATTTCAGAAAGTCATAGGCATTGTTGTTACATGAACATATTATATATATATATATACTTTTAATAAGACGGGATCATTGTGTCTACTAAGACTGGCTCTTTGTATGCAATTTATTTGGTTAATTGAGTCAAAATGACTGGAAAGGGCATTTGGGGCAAGAGCATTTAAATTTTGTTCACTGTAGTGGTTTGAACAAAGAAGTGGTGTAGGACCAGGGTGAGCAGTATGCATCCGGACATATACCTAAGCACAGTCCCTCGGGGCCAGTCCTCAGCGTGGACTGGTCCCTTCTGACCCTCAGTAGCAGGAGTTCCGGGATGCGCTCTGCTCCAAGGGGTTGCAGTGAAATGTAATATATTACACATATGGTGAGCACAACCCAGGCACACAGGGAACACCCAAATCAGTAGTCACTGGTACTACTACTATGCTCAGACAGAGCCAGGCGTGTGATGCCCATGACAAAGAGGGAGAATATGTCCATCTGGAAAACCATTAACATGATTGTATTTCAAAAGATCATTGTTGGTTCTATCTCCAAAGGGTAGCTCATCGGGGGAGGGCAGCTCTAACCAAGTGAAGAAATGGGCAGCTATTGTAAAGTACAGAGCGAGGCCCGCTTCCCAGCCCAACTCTTCAGTTTCTGAAATTATTATGTAAGAGTGGGAATAAGAGAGGGAAGAGATGTACAATTTGGGACATGCTCAAGCTGACTTGCCCCAAATGGTAGAGTTAGAAACATACCAGGGGATTCCAATTCAATCCCATCAAAGTGGCATGTACCAATGCCATCTCACTAGTCCAAGTGATCAATTTCAGTTCACAATTGATCATAATGAAAGGATTAAGAGTCAAAGGGATCACATAAACAAGTCTAGTGCCTGCTAATACTAACTGATAGAATAAATAAAGGGGAGAGCGATCCAACATGGGAAGCGAGATACACAGCAGACTCATAGAATGGCAGATGTCCTAAACAGCACTCTGGCCTCAGAATCAGCCCTAAAGGCATTCGGATCCGGCTGAAAAGCCCATGAGAGTATTTCAGGCATGGAAAGCCAAGACACTCTGGCAAAAAGATCTCTGTGAGAGAGATCCCAGTGGAAAGAACAGGTCTTCAAAGAGGGAGGTGCCTTTCTCTGAAGGGAGGAGAGAACCTCCACTTTGACTATGACCGTGTCTAAACAAGATAAGAGTCGGAGAACTCAAGGGGCTTCCATAGCCTTGGAAACTCATAACTGGTGCATAGGGAGATTACTGATGCCATAAACAGGAGTGTCAATTTGTAAAGTCAACAACAGGAGTCACTGTGCACTTACACTTCATGTAGGATCTCTGTCCTTGATGTGCTGTACATTGAGATTTAATGCTATAACGAGTACTCAAACAGTATTTTTCACTTTGTGTTTCTATGGGGGTGCAAACTGTTGAAATCTTTACTTAATGTATACTAAACTGATCTTTTGTATATATAGAAAATTGAAAATGAATTGGGATATGAATGGAAGGGGAGAGAGAGCGGGAAAGGGGAGGGTTGCGGGTGGGAGGGAAGTCATCGGAGGGTGGGGGGAAGCCAATGTAGTCCATAAGCTGTACTTTGGAAATCTATATTCATTAAATAAAAGTTAAAAAAAGAAATTATTATGTATTACAGGTTATGATGGTGATAATAACAATAGCTACTGACACTTCCACAAGGGTATATCAAAAAGTTCATGCAAAAATGAAATTAAGAGATAAGTTCATTTCTAAGCAAAATTTCTGAAATCCACGCATAGCTTTTTCAAATTATGCATTTCCATGAATTTTAAGACTCCCGCTATGAGTACAGCACTGACTCTGTGCTGGGCACTGCAGTAAATCCTTTACCTATGTGAACTCATTTTCCTGTCCCTGCAGCCCCATGAGGGAGATGCCATCATTGTTCCCGTTCCCAGACATGGGATTCAGATACAAAGACGAAGCAGCACTTGAATCGAAGTGCAAGGGGGCATCCATTCTCCTGATAAAGTCAGAGAGGGAGGAGAGTGTAGACATTGGCTGGTATCATTCTCTGTTTTTATAGATGGAGAAACTGAGGCCAGCCTTGAGGCCAGTGCTAGCATTTGTAGTTGATGCTCAGTAAACGGCAGCTGAGGGATGGCCAGTATGCACAGACAGGAGCAAGACACACACGGTGAGTTACCGGCACTGCCGGGAAGAGAACCTGGGCCGAGACTCCCCAAGAAAATCTCTAGCACACCGGCTTCCTCAGCCTTGTAAACTGGCTTGTAGTCATCTTTATTTTTTTCTCTGTGTGGCTGTGTTTGAGCAAAGAGCTCATCTCTCAAGGGCAAACGTCTGTGAGTGCCCTGGGGTGACTGATCTTGTTTCTCTCCCCCGAGTCTCCTTGCTTTTCTGCTCTGTTTCGCTGGGTGTGAACCTTTCTGCCTGGGTCCTCAGCTCTTTCTGAACTGGCTGGCATAGTTCTGAGCAGGCTTCAGAGCTCAAGAAATACTTTTTGATTCGTGGCTCTTTCTAGAAAGTGCTCAGGCCAAATGGATAAAGAGGATGAGGGTCTGAACCAGGTAGGAGTTCGGGTTGCCAGCAAGAGAAACCTCATTCTAACAGATTTGGACAATGACCTACAAAGTCAACATAACTGACATTGCAGGGGGTCAGGAGGAGCTTGCTCCACAGCCTAGCCTCTGTCTCTGTTTCTCAGCCCTGTGTCTTGGTCATCAGCCCCACTCGTAGCCACGCTCTCCTGAACCGTGATAAGACGTGTTTCAGTGGCGTCTCATCATTGCTTATTCCCATCCAGCAGGAGTGACATGATGACTGCAAGATACCTGATCAAGATACACAACAAGTCATGGTTGATTTTTGTTGCTCTTGATTAACCTGATTTGGGGCTTTGCCCCTTCTCAAAGCCAGCCCTCACAGACAGGAGGACGGGGTCAACAAATTTTTCTGTAAAGGACTGGACACAAATATTTTAGTCTTTGTGGGCCATACTGTCTCCTTCTCAGTTACTCCACACCACGACTGGAGCCTGAAAGCAGCCCAAGGCAGCACGAAGATGAATGAGTGTGTCCCAATTTGGCCTGCAGGCCACAGTGGCCAACCCTGGCTTAAACAAATCAGCCCCAATCTGGAGCAGATCCTTTGCATTCTTCAAGGGCCCCTATGCAGTGTAGCCCTAATAAATCTTGGGTCCTGTATGACCTCGTCCTTTCCTAGAAGCTCATTCAAAGAAGCACAAGCTAAGCCAACCAAGTGATGATTTAAAATCCCACATCGAAGTGGTGATGGCAAACATTGTGAATGCACTAAATGCCACTCGATTGCTCACTTTAAAGCAGCTAATTTTATTTTAAGTGAATTTCCTCTCAATTTTTTAACAAAGAATGTCTTCTATTAAAAATAGCACAAAATCCTAAGCCAGTGCTGGAAAAAGCATGTATTTTGGGGTGAGTGTTTTACACGTGGTTAAGATGCCATTTGGAGTACCCCCATACCATATCAGAATACCTGGGTTTGGGTCCCACAGTGGTGGTTAAGATGCCACCTGGGATACCTGCTCTATATTCCACCTTTCTGTGATGTCTCTGGTGATGGCTCAAGTACGTGGGTCTCTGCCACCCACATGGGAAGTCCAGATGGAGTACTTGGCTCCCAGCAGAGGCCTGGCCCAACCCTGACTGTTGCAGGCATTTGCAAGGGTGAACCAGCAGATGGGAGCTTGTCTTTCTCTGTCTCTGTCTCTCTTTTTCTCTCCTCACCCCTTTCAAATAAATAAAACACACTTAAATTTTTTAAAGTTCCAGTTGTTTCTCAGCTCTCTTAAAAAACATTAAAATCATTTAAAGATACAAACCAGAGCAACTCTTCTCAAACCCCATTTGTCTTCTCCGCAGTTCTGTCATCTCAGGTTCCCATCTGACAAACCTCTGAATTCTCACCCTCTCCAGCCCTGCCCTTCTCTCTGTTTCTCTCTGGACTGCCTTTCTTCCCAGGTCTTTAACATGTAACCAGCATGGTTTCTCTCTCTCCCTGCCCCTACCCCTCCCCTTACCCCTCTCTCTACCCCTCCCCCTCACTTTCCCTCTCCCCCTCCTCTCCCTCACCAGCTTGTGTGTTTCTCTATCTCTGTCTCTCATCCTCCTCCATCTTCTCCAGCTTTGCAACTTTAGCTTACCTTTTTCTCAACTTTGAATCACAAAATATTTTGGACTTTGACTGTCAAGGGTTGCCTAGCATTGAGTGATGGGTCAAGGGACTAGAACACACAAAACTGATAGGTCAACACATCTTATTGTCACTTTTGCAGAGTGGGACCTGTGAGTAACCAAGCAGTGACCTCAGAGCGCCAGCTGCCCCCTTCCGCTATGTGAAGACACAACTAAGCGGCCATGGATACACCAGAAAGCCGGGTCCTCCCCAGACACCTCATGTGACAGCACCTTCATCTTGGACTTCCCAGCTTCTGGAACTGTGAGAACTAAATTTCCCTAGTTTACAAGCTAACGTCAGAGGCAGCTTCTTTCCCCACCTGCCTTTTTATCAATACAAGGACAGGCACACCCCCAGTCCAGATTCAGTTCTGGAGTGTGCCTGTCCCTATTCCAGGTTTCTCTGACATTTGCCTTTTCTGCCCCCGCATTCGAAGGCTGAGAGTGAAGGACTGGCCAAGAGTCAGCTTCCCAAAGGGAAGGAGAGAAGCAAGCAGCCACTTCACAAGCACTCCCCAAGGAGGCAAGAGGGGTAAAGTCCTCCGGGAAATCTCCAACACAGAGGAGGAAGACAGAACCCAGAGCTTTAATAAGTCACAGAGTGGGGCTCTCGAGTGACAGAAGCTATGTGTCAGTATTAAAACATTGGTTTGCTCAGCTTCCTTTCTGAAGGGGAACCTTCACACTAGCTCAAGGAACTGTTTCCTGAGCACCCCTTAAGCCACAAAGGCTGCTGCGTGGAGCCAGGGGTTGAGGGATTTGCACTGTCTGATTGCAGCCCATCACCTTTAAGCCCCGTGTGCGTGTTTTCTTAATCACTGCCCAGTTTATGAATCATTGTTTCTACTTGCTTTAGAAATGGTCACTCTCTACTTTTTCTTTCCAGATTGAACTGTGCTGGCTTTTTATATTTCCCTTTGGTGTCTTACCTACTCAATGAATGTAATGCATGCTAATTTCAAACAACTGCAAACACATGAAGTAGAAATAAAAGCATTTCTGTTATCCATCTTTCAGGAATAACCAGTTCTTCTCCTATATTCTTTCATGATGCCAATGCAGACACACATCTCTCAGCTTCTTTTTAAGTAACAAATGCTGTAATGCTAAACACATTGTTTTGAAATAAATTCATTTTATATTCAAGCTTTAATTCACCATTTCAAGCCTGTTCTTGTATGTAATCTATCCATTCTGTGTTATTCCAGATAATATTAAGTATTTTCCCTTAGACTGTCATTGACATTGCTTTAAAATATTTCACTTTAGTATAAAGTAATAATAAAAGTCTTTGAACACAGAGCTTGCTCATCCCTTCAGATCTACCCAGTTTCTCTCCTTCCCTCTGCAAACATGCATGCCCGCTGAAGACCAGCAAGGCTTGGCCAAAGGCAATGCTCTGCTAAATACTCAACACCAACTCTTAGAAACTGGAAATCCAAGACCCATTCATTCTGTCATTCACTTTTTCATCAAGTGTTTACTATGTTCCTAAGAAGTAGCAAATATCTTTCTAAACACCAGTGAAATACACAAAAAAAGATCACCTTTATAGCTGAATATTCACTGGGGGAAACAAAATAAATACAAGTAAAAAATACAGAATTTTAGAGATATGAAGATGAAGCTATTCATGGGAAACCAAAGGGGAAGTTTAGGGAGGCAGGAATGGCAGGCTAATACCTTTGGGTGGACAGGAAGAAATAAACATGGTGCACAAGGAAAAGACAGGTCCTAAGACTGAAGCTCTTTGAGCTCAGGCAAGAGGTGTGAGCTGGACCTGAGAAGCAGCAGAAGCCATATCAGGTCAGACTTTACAAGTCACGGGAAGGGCTTGTGTCTTAGTCAGGGCTACGGGAGCCACTGAAGCCATCTGAACAGAGGGGTGTGGTTTCTGGAGCAGGTGGACAACTGGAGAGCAGGTGTTACTGTGTCCAGGAGGAGGGAGTCTCTGCTCACGAGCAGGGAACTCAAGTGGCTCCAACAAGGCAGGCAGTAGAGCTCTGAGTCTCAGCAGTGAACACCCGATGAACTCAAAAGGTCAGTCAGCAGCAGCCCCCCATGGACTAAAACCAGTGGGGTCAAAGAACGAGGAGATCAAGGCCTTTGACAGAACCGTGCTTGAGCAAGGAGAAGTTCTAAAACCAGGCAGCATCCCAGGCCACAGATGGGCTGCAAGCCTCCGCTTTTACAGTCTAGTGAGCTGCTTTCATAACCAGGAAACCAGGAGAGGGCATCAGAGCGGGTCTGACGGGCGCTGTCTGCTGTTTGCCTTAAATGGGCATGATCTGGCAGCCTTCATTGGGATTGACTGAAGGGTCAGCTGCTATGATGGGCGCAGGCTCAGTTGCTCAGCTGCAGAGAACACTTTTAGGTTCGGTTACAGGGCGCTCGGGCCTGACTGCAGTTCACTCCAGGTGGAACTCGTCATTCAAGTCTGGAGGCTGGTTTAGGCCCATTTCCTCCACTTCAGCAAGGAGAAGGCAACAGGGGCCAGCCCAGAGCCTACAGCCAATCCATCTGAAGGGGAAGAGGCACCCCAGAGAGCTGAGTCATCAAGGGTCAAAGTCCTGGAGAGAACTCGGTGTAGGATATCCACCGAAACACAGCCTTCCTTCTCTGGGCAGCAAAGACCCCTGGGCGTGGCTCCACCCCATCAACACATCTCCCTGGGTTTACAGAAACAAACCGAGGCTTCGCAGTGATCTCTGACCTCTCCAAGGCAGGAAGCAACGTTCATAAATCAGATATCTGTGTTCTGGAAGGAGAGAGGGTCCGTACCGCAGTTACTGCTTCACAAGTCTTTCTGGATCAAGCTTTCATGCTCTTTATGACCTAGCATCTGACGTCTGTGCCTCATGGGCTCAGCTAACGTGGCATTCCCCCTAGGAACTAGCACCCGGCCTCTGAAAGACTGATACCAGGAGAGCAGAAGTGTGAGAATGGCCACACCCTGCAGGAAAGTTTACGATTTAGCATTCTGCTTCCAGACACCCGGCCTCCAGATCTAGTCATACAAATGCACAAGGCTGTCCAAGAGGCATTTGGGAGTGAATTTTCCAGGTCTTATCAACACAACACCAAATCATATACATCTACGTGTGTAAATGCCGGTATGTGCAAAAGAAAGTCCGAGATGTACACCATTCTGGACAATGGGAGGAGAAAGAGGGATTCCTGTTTTACTGTGTATAGTTTTGTTAGGTTGAATCATATGAAACTGCTAGTTGTTGTAAGCAGAGAATGCCCCAGATTTGAAGTTTCATATGGTTAATTCTAGAAAAGAACTGATTTTTTTTGGGGGGGGGGGGAAGGTGGCATAATGAAGTTGCTAAAATAATGGGCTCTGGAGATAGGCAGCGTCATTGTCAGGGTCAGTTCTGCTGCTTCCTGTTTAACCCTGGGCAAGTTGCTTCACATCTCCGTGCCTCATCCACCCCCCCCCCCATTTGGACTACGTGAATAACAATAGTACTTAATAGTACCTAGCTCAGAGTGCTGATGAGCGAATCAAATGAGTTATATGTAATGTGCTTATAAATGTGCCAGTACAAGCCTTCCAGTCATGATAGCCATTAATTTTTCAATGCACCTGTTACTTCATTTGAAATAATAATATATATTTTTCGGGGCCAGTGCTGTGGCTCACTTGGTTAATCCTCTGCCTGTGGCGCCGGCATCCCATATGGGCGCCGGGTTCTAGTCCCGGTTGCTCCTCTTCCAGGCCAGCTCTCTGCTGTGGCCCGGGAAGGGCAGTGGAGGATGGCCCAAGTGCTTGGGCTCCTGCACCCACATGGGAGACCAGGAGGAAGCACCTGGCTCCTGGCTTCAGATTGGCCCAGCTGCCCGTGTGGCAGCATTTGGGGAGTGAACCAATGGAAGGAAGACCTTTCTCTCAGTCTCTCTCTCACTAACTCTACCTGTCAAATAAATAAATAAATACATGTTTTTAAAAAAGAAGTTGTTGTCTAAATTATCCTTGAAAAACTCTTCCCTTCTAGCTACGAGACAAAATTCCAAGTGGCTCCTCTTTGGTAGTTTCCTATCATCTAGGAAATGTGCCTTCAACTCTTGGCAGTTCTTGGTGACAGCACGATGCTCAGTGCCAAGCAGCATTACTGCCTGAAGGAGTCCCATGTCCTGAATTTTCTCAGGTGAGCTCTCTTCCCCATTGCTTTTTTTTTTTTTTTTTCAAACATGGCATCTTTCTGCTCTTTTAATTGTGTCACTAATATATTTGTAAACTCATTCATCCCACTTCATCCCCCCCCCCCCCATTTGCTTTCTTTATGCACTGCTCTAAATATAACCACGGAAACAAAACAATGCAGTTTCACAAACAAAGGAGACTCTGCAGGGTAAGCAGAACCCTCCCTAGGTCTTGAGTCAACTGCTCTTGCTTGCCTTCATGTTTTATAAAACAGCCCATGGCGCTCACAACAGAAAGGGAGGGAACCCTGATTAAATGGTATGCATTACTTTAAAAGGGAATTAAAAGCAATGCAAAGATCTGCACTACACTACATCAGGCAAGGATACGCAAGCAGAGTTGCCTGGGTGGTTTCCAGTGTGAACACACAGTTTCTGAATCCCAGTGACTCGCTGGCTTAAGAAAGGCCGGCTCCCCTGGATAAAGGGCTCAGCAATTAGAGGGTCATCGCCCTTTTCCTCTGGATCAAAGAACAGGACTATGTTTTAAGGGTTGGGATGAAAAGGTAATTTAGGGTATTTGGAAATTGATAAAGATGGTTGAAGCACTGCAATTTTAGGTGGTTTTCTTTGAAATCACTGAAAGAAAACAAAACCAATATAAATATTTATATAAATTAATATTTGTCTGAGGCATAAATTTACCACGTGAAAAAGGCAGCCAGAGCCTTATTCATGGTCTTATATTCTGTGTGTGTGTGTGTGTGTGTGTGTGTACACACAAGTTTGTAAAAAACACAAGCAAATTGAGGCCAGTGATATGGAGTAGTGGGTAAAAGCTGCTGCCTGAAGTGCCGGCATCCCACATGGGCACCAGTTCAAGTCCCAGCTGCTCCACTTCTGATCCAGCTCTCTGCTGTGGCCTGGGAAAGCAGTAGAAGATGGCCCAAGCCCTTGGGCCCCTGCACCCACGTGGGAGACCCGGAAGAAGCTCCTGGCTCCTGGCTTTGGATCGGTGCAGCTCTGACCATTGCAGCCAACTAGGGAGTAAACCAGTGGATGGAAGACCTCTCTCGCTCTCTCTCTCTCTTTGCTTCTCCTTCTCTTTCTGTGTAACTCTTTCAAATAAATAAATAAATCTTTAAAAAACCACAAGAAAATTAATATCATTTCAGCTTCTGGAAATTCTATAGAGGAAATAATTTTGGTGGGATGGTGCGATAGGGGCTAACTTGAGGTCAGTGATGTTCTCTCTAGAAGGTGACATTTGAGTTGGAGCCTGAAGGTTGAGCCAGGGGGAGGAGCACTGTAGGCAGAGGGTGACCAACTTGCCAAATCCCCGTGCTGTCAAAGGGCTCGTGACGGAGAAACAGGAAGGAGCACAGCGGCTCACGCAGGCTGTTGCATAACTCGCCCTGAGCTTACTGAGCCTCAGAACCAGAGTGGAATTTGTAAAGATAACCGTGGCCCCAAGAGAGAAATCACTTGCCTTGTATCAACCAAATCGTGGGTAGGAAAGGCATGGGGAGAACCCAAACCACCTAAATTGTAGGCTGTATGTTTTCAGAATTTCATAGATTGTACACCAGCTACTTGTTTTCGGTGTGGCTGTGTTACTCTGCTGGATCAGCTTTTGGGTCACTTGGGGTTCAAGATTTGACCCCAACTCAACCACTTTTGATCTGCAATTTGCTCCTTAATTGTCCTGAACCTCGTCTATGACATCTCCTGGGAGAGCTGTACGAGGTCCTTAGGCCAGGTTTAGCTCAGTTCCTGGCACAGAGCAAAAATACCAAATGTTAACTGTCCTCACAGTTATTATCATTATGATTTTGTCAATACTCTCTCTGCCTCAACATTAATAGTTTCTTTTCTGGAAGACTGTATTGTACATCATTTTACACTCCGTCTACCAATGTGGAAGGGGATATATAGCATAAAAATGGCTTTGTGGTCCAAATATTTGCTTATTTATCACAGAGCCAATGATTAATCAGCTACTGGGTGAGATTTGGAGAAAACAAAAAACAATTAAGAGAACTGAATAATGAGTTCTGCCGTGTTCAGGGTCAGCGGCAGGGGCATTGAGTCTTGGACTCCTGACTTGCTCTGTGACCCTCAGCGAGGTCCTGCACCTCTGGGAGGCTCAGGAGTCACATCTGCACAACGGGGACAGCAGCCCGCACTGTGCTGCTTGGATGGACAGTAAACGGCTAGATGTCTGGGTGCACGGCCTCCGGCATCTGGAACGCAGGAACAGCTCCCGACCGCCAGCTCAGATCGGCCTCCGCGGAAAAGCTGCAGGCACTGGAGGCGGTGGAAACCATCTGCAGAGGTTCACTGTGAGTCAAGCAGACTGGGAGTGCCGCTTCCCACCTTCCCTGCCCTCTGCAGCAAAGACCTCAGAGGGATTCTGGGGCTCCTTCTGAAAGAATGATAGGAATTCTCTCAATGGGCAGTCAGAGAGGCACTCCAGACAGCAAAACCAGCCTTGCCAGGCCACCGAAGCCTGCAACAGGACAGCTTCCTGGGGCAACGCTAAGAAGTCTGGGACAGCTGTTCCGTGCATGGGAGGACAGGGCAAGGACTGAGAAGCCAGGCAGAAAAGGTCACCACTGCTGCCTGGAGAGTGTGTGCTCCTGGAGCTCTCGGTCCGCAGCCCTTCTGCAGCAGCATCTGGTTCTCCAGCCAAGATTTCCAATCCTGAGCAAACAATGTTGCTTTTCTTCCCAACAGTTGGGATGGAAGCAAAAAACATTGCACCAAAAGCTCAATCTACGAAAGATCTTGTGGCTGTGGGTTGTTAAATGCCAAAGCCCCATATGAGGTTACATTTCCACACAGATCCCGGGAGCCCCAGCATTGGCCAGACTCCCCATCTCCAACGGTAACGCGGGGACTTTCAAGAGCGTTCAGCAACACTTGATGACTGAAACGCCACATTGAGAAAATCCCATGAAAATAAAACTGGGTTCACAGCCAAAGCAGAAGGCATAGGATGCTCTTGGGAAGTAAACTGCAGGAAGCTTATCCTCAGCTACAGAGGGAGAGGTCATCAGGCTTCCCGCGACTACCCAGGCACGTCAGGATACAGTCGGAGAAAAACCCCTCCCCGACGGGTGGCAGACGGGGACTAACATATCTTCGTCATGACACAGCAGCCACTTGGCTGACACCACCAAAGATCCGTATACAACAACCATCTTAAATTTAATGATCTAATTTAAGGGCTGACAAACATACTGTTTATCCAAGGGGTTAGGAATGGCCCTCCCTCTTCCTGTACCAAAGTAATTACTCCCCCAACTTGAAGCAATCGTAGTGAAAGCACTTTTTGTGTCTCCAATCCTTCAGTTGAACCCTCAGGCTAAGAGGTCTTTTTTTTTTTTTTTTTTTTTGTAAGGCATTGTTCATGCACAGTGGCATAGAATTTCATTTGCCGGTTTCAAGTATTAAGAGCACAACACAAAATCTAAGCAATTTTAGACATGTGTCAATCTCAAATAAAAAAGGCTTTGTGCTGGCACAGGATGTCAATGCTTGAATTAAAGAGTAGAGAATTTCCCTGAGCGAGAGCTGTACATGCTGACATGATACATTGTTCAGGCTCTGTGTTACGATACAGCCAATATGTTTTAATAATTTATTGGTATTTATTTAACACACAATGCTGTCATACCAAATCTAAACCAAGAGGTCTCGGTTCCTCATTGATTCCTGTACACGGTTCTTATCAGCATCATTAGATGCTTCCTTAGAAAATGCTTGTGTGTGATAACAGAAGTGTATTTCGGAAACTTCGTTAGAGTGGTATTTTGATACCACCTTCCAGGGACTCCCAGTGGGATACTGCTGAAGAGATTTAATGTGGCTTTGTCTTTTTCCTTCTTTATTTATCAGACTTCTCCTGATGAAATCAAAGCTCCAAGAATTAATCTCATTCGAACATTTACTCAGAATCAAGCCAGCCAAGAGAACGCCACAGGCGCATGCGGAGAGCTGCCGGATACAGATCTGGGCTGGGTGCTGGACTGCCTTAATCATTAATTCATCCGTGGGAGGATTCATTCATCTTTATTTTACCATCACCTAATGAGGAGAATGGAAACTATCAAAATCCAAAGGCTACTCATTCTTTTAGAGTGACTATTTGATAATCATTAATTAATAATGTCAACAATGACCTTAATTTTCTAGGTATTCCTCCTAGAGATTTACATTTTAATTATATTTCCTTTAAGGACAAATGAACTCTCCCAGAATTAAGCTTTGGTTTACCGTTTTCAAATCACAGGAGCCAGGAGAAGCTATGTTCATGTAAAAATCATCAGACTTTTTTTTTTGAAGAGCCTCGAATGGCAGAGATGAAGAGAGAATAAATGCAGCTGATGAGATCTAGGGTGACATCAGTAATTCTCAAAGGGACTCCACACCATAGCGTGTGCTGGTATGGACGCTCGTTGCTTTTATGGAGGTGACAGGCCTGACCTGTCAGGTACTAGTAACACCCAGGACAGACTAGAAATGTCACAAACCACTAACAGCTACTACATAAGATATAAAAGGATGTGTCTAAAAGGGGTGGCTTTTCTAAACTGGCTTAAACCTGTTTTGAAGTTTCTCTTTCTTTAACAAACCCATCCTTTTCCATTATGAAATCCAGTATTAACTTACAAAATGAAAACAACAACAACAACTAAATGGCTTAAGATTTTATTTTAGCCTGGACCTTTTATTTCAATGCTATGGAAATCCCATTTTAACTAACATTAGCTTTTAAAAAATCATGGCTGAGAAGCTGAGGCACAGCTGGGTCCAGGTGCCCACGTGATGGCACCAGGACCCTGTGTCTGCCTCTCGGTTGCTCTTTCCTCTGAGTTGGCTCCATTTCCAGGGCCGGTATTTCATCCCACCTGGAATCCCCAGACACATGAAACTTACCTATTACCAATTTAAATACAGCAGAATGAGAACTTCTCTGTTAAGAGTTGGTTATGGTCCCATCAAAAGTCCTAGATCCTAATCCCCAATACCCGAGAATATGGCCTTACTTGAAAAGAAAGCCATTGGAGATATCGTTAAAATGAGGTCACACCAAAGCACAATGGAGTTGACTGAGACCTAATCTAACTAACATTCTGGAGCCCTTATTAAAAGGGGAGATTTGAATACAGACACACCCAAGAACCCAATGAGAAAGCCCCAAGATTGGGATGTGTTACCACAAGCCAAGGAGCAGCAAGAGGCTAGGAGAGGGGCCTGGACGACGCCCTTTGTTGGTGGCTTCACAAGGGACAGCCCTGCTAACATCTTGATTTTGGACTTCCAGTTTCTAAAACTGTGAGGTAAAAAAAAAATTGCTACTGTTTAAGCTACTCAATTTGTGCCATTTTTTATAGCATTCCTAGAAAACCAATACACTGGCCTTTCTGACACTTTGAAGTATCCTAGGATCTGTCCTGATTGGTTCCATTTAAACCAACATTGCTCTCTGTGGCCAAGTGGATGGCTGCGTGCATGCAGCCCACAAGCCCACTCTAAGAGCTGGACATGGACTCAGTCCTACCCTATCTCTGTGTACCAAGAGTGAGCAAAAGGCAGCTCTCCAAAGAAACTTCAAAATGCTGTCACCAGTGGCAAGAGGACAGGAAACACACAGAGTGTCTACCAGATGAATTCATCAGAGAAAGAACTTGAGGCTAACTTAGCTCATGGTGCTCGGTGTCTGAGTGGTGGGCATCTCGTCCCCTGCGAGGCCTTTCCTGGGGCCCTCTGAGAACTGTCCTTTGCCCTGCATGCAATCCCCTTAGATAACTGGCAGATTGTAACAATAACAATAGCGATAAGCCTTTTTGAGGTGCTTATGATGTCCTGGCCATAGCTCTAAGCTACTTAATTCATTTAATCTTGATCCTAACCCAATGAGGTACATACGATATTATCTCCATTTTCCAGGTGAGGCAATTGAGGGTCAGAGGGGTTAAGCAACTTCTCTGAAATCGTGTAACTAGTAAGTGCTAGGTGCCAGAACAAATCTGCATCAAATCCATTTAGTTCTAGGGTCACGTTCTATACCAGATCACCATACTGCATCAAGTAGTCATTCATTTTCTACATTTCTCCTCATTCCTGTCTCCTCCTGTGAGGCCAAATATGACACCTGTATCATTGGTGGAATTTTAGAATATACATTTAATCTCAAATAACTATTAGTAGTTATATATTGGTTTCCATGGATAACTCTTCATATAATTATTATATAAAATTTTATAATATACAATTATAATATATAATATATAACTTTCAGTGGTGCTGTACACTTCCTTAAGTAAGTCTGTTTAAGCAAAAGAAGCTGAGTACAAATATGGTAAGAATAGTTCAGGGGCAGCAATGTGGCACAGTGGGTTAACGCCCCAGCCTTCAATGCTGGCATCCCATATGGGCTCTGGTTCGAGTCCCGGTCACTCTTCTTCCAACCTAACTCTCTACTATGTCCTGGAAAAGCAGTAGAAGAAGGCCCAACTCCTTGGGCTCCTGCACCTTAGCCACCTAGAATAAGAAGCTCCTGGCTCCTGGCTTCAGATCAGCTCAGCTCTGGCCATTGTGGTCATTTGGGGAGTGAACCAATGGAATGGAAGACTTCTCTCTCTCTCTGGCTCTGTCTCTCTCTGTAACTCTTTCAAATAAATAATTTTAAAAGAATAGTTCAGATGTTATATGGATGTTTTAAAAGTGTTAAATGTAGTATAGAAATGACTGAAGTTTGAAATCCATGTATTTAGACAAAGTAGGCTTTCAAGAATGCATTGTATCTACTGGATTTTTAATGGTAGGGCTAGCTACAGTGTTCAGCATATAGTAGAACCTCGCTGAACACTTAATAAATCGTTATGCAGTTATCTGGTTACCAGCAACATAAAATAAATACAAATCCAGTATCCATCTCATCTGAGTTGAGTACATGTGAGGTAGTACAGTTTGGTGATGTGAAATAGCAGACATATTGATTATCTCATCCTCACTGGAACTTAGTTAAGAACTATCACAGCAGTCAGTCATCTGATAGTGGTTCTGTGGACTAAGCGCTCCACTTCAGTACCGAGGGACTAGACCTGGATCTCAGAAACAAAGCATGTACGCCCGCAGATATTTTTTTTTTTTTTGACAGGCAGAGTGGACAGTGAGAGAGAGAGACAGAGAGAAAGGTCTTCCTTTTGCTGTTGGTTCACCCTCCAATGGCCGCCGCGGCTGGCACGCTACAGCCAGCGCATCGCGCTGATCCGAAGCCAGGAGCCAGGTGCTTCTCCTGGTATCCCATGGGGTGCAGGGCCCAAGCACTTGGGCCATCTTCCACTGCACTCCCGGACCATAGCAGAGAGCTGGCCTGGAAAAGGGGCAACCGGGACAGAATCTGGCACCCCGACCAGTACTAGAACCCGGTGTGCCAGTGCCGCAAGGCGGAAGATTAGCCTAGTGAGCCGCGACGCCGGCCAGATATCTGTTCTAAGAAGCAGGAATGTTACCGGCACCAGTTTTGTTGGTCATGTATTTTTTAAATGACCTACTCCTTTTCTCAAAATAACTTTGGATGAAATAGTCAATGAATATGAGGGACTTCAACTGCAAAACTGGAAAATCTCTGCCATATTAAAAGGTTCAAATCTTAGGCTGACAGGACTTCAAAAGCACAGGGATGATCTTTAACTCCTCTAACAAATACGTGTCTTTCAGAGTCATATCCAAGCCCAGCCGGTGCAGCACAATGGCTAAGGCTGTGAACTTCAGGACGTTAATTAACTCCCTTGTGCCTCCTTTCCTGTTCTGTAAAATGTGGATTATAATGGACTTGTTGAAAGGATAAAATGAGTTAATGTATGTAAAGCACTTAGTTTACTATTGAGTAAGCACTTAGTAATAACAGGTGTTGTTATTATCACCATTATTAATACTGTTGATTGAAATTTGTATTTTGTTAGTTATATTAGGGGAGTAAACCCACCTACGATGAGGTATGTTTTATGTCAGGCACCCTAGGGACAGCTTTCATTATTTAACCATGTCTCAGGTCAGGTTCCCCAGGAAGCAGACTCTGCAACTGAGATTAGTGTGAAAGCTTATTAGGGAGTAGTCTTGGTTTTAACACCTGTGGGAAGAGAAGGAACCAGGACTAGGAGACAGAATGCGGGCTGCTTGCAGTCACAATACTGACCCCAGCTAACCCTGCAGAAGGCTCTGAACTGAATGGCCTTCCAGGATTGTCTTGAGCTGGGGTGGGAAGGGCGATCCTTTTTGTCCCATCATCAGTTGCTGAGTTCAGGTTGCTTGCTGAAAGGAGGAATGAGTTTAGGAGAGACTCCCTGTCTCCCACTGCACTACTGCAGGACAGAGCTCAGAGCTCTCAGGTGCCAGTTCTCCTGTGCCCGCTGAAACCGGATTTTCATCTCTAAGTGGGGGTTCTGGGATGTGCAGCAGTGTCCACTGCAGTCCACCCCTTAAGTTCAGATCCACTTCTTTACACAGGCTCTGCATAAGCAGCTCTGTGTTCCGAGGGAACTTTGCCTTGGAAAACCTCACAAAGAGAACATCAGGAGGATCAATGGGCCGCCATTGTGGCGACTTTTCAGACCACACTCTCACTCCTATCTCCTGTGACTTTTGTCAACCAACCAGTTATTTTGTTATTTTTTTCTTCCTTCTTCTGACTTCTGTGGTGACTTAAATGGAGAGATGGAAAGATTCGCCACTTATGCTCCTTTATATTATTAAAAGTGGTCCTGTCTTCACTTTTCCTCCCAGAGGTGC